TGGTAAGGTTCTTCTTGAGACATGTTTCAGCACATCATTATGTCATATTCTGCATAGCATGATGTCATTGCTGTGTGTATCAGCATGTGGTGGAACCTTATGTTGAAAACTCAACTCATCCCTTCTCTTCCTCTTTTTCTTCTTTCTTACAATGACTGAATTGACCAAATATAAAAGTAGTTTGCCTCTGTTTGGTCTGATGCATCTATAGGCCCAAACCAGCTTGATATCACGAAGAGAATCGTGCGCTAACAATTGGCGTACACATAACGATCCACTACAATATGTAGTCAGAAGCTGTCGTTTTTCAGATCTTATCATCATGTTCAAAAACCCACGAGACCATGAAATTGGTGCACTTGCAGACAGGAATCAATATCTCCCAAGATGCGCTAACAGATCTCAATGGTCGGCGGTGATGTCTGCCCCGTAACGTCGACCAAGCCGCCTCCTTGATGAGGTTTGTCAAGAAGGGCTCGCGTGAACGCTCATGAAAGGAGAGAAGGATCTCACTCTTGAAAATCCACTCTGTGTCTTGACAAATTTAATATCTGGCGCAGCCGCCGACCAAGTCTCCTAAGCCCCAAACCTGAAAGGAGCCCGAATTATGCACTACATACGTAGGAGAAATATTCGGCTTAAAACAATCATCCCATATGAAGGGAGCTTATTCTCCTGACAGCTTTAAAACTAGCTCTTCCTTTCTTTTCTTTTTTTGATCGGCCGCCGGTCCGGGTGATCAACTCTATCACCCATACTGCTTTTGGCGACACAGGCTCCGACGGAGTGCGCAGAACAATATGCAGGGCAGCAGCATGGGATTGAATCAAGTCTTCCTGAAACCGGCCAGCAGGCACCTCCTGTGATGGAGAATATAAGTAGTCCCCGTGGGCAGTAACAGTACGCCTCCTGATCGTAGTGAGCTGACGTAACCCTTTTTTTTTTTTTGACTCGGAAACGGTGCTGGCAGGCCGTGCTGAGTCTGTTCTTGTTGTTTGTTGTCAGAGCTTATCAGCTGTGAACAGCTTGTTCATGAATTCCGCGCGTGCCGTCTTGTTGACTTGTCGTCACTTGTCTTCTTGAAACGACAAAAGCTGGAGGGCCATCATTTGGACGCCATATGTAGAAAGCTTCTTTAAGTGTTGCTATGAGAAAAAAAAAATTGCACATCTTCCTGAATGGCTTTTTGGTTGGAAAGAAAAAAAGGTGTTTAGTATGTAACACCAACAAATAAATAAATAAATAAAAAAGGCTTTTGAGGTGTATCTAACTATGAAGGTCGCAGGGACATGCATCTATTCTTGCTCACACTATAGAGTACTATGGATGCATATCTCTGGCTCCCCCTACCTTACTAATATTAGAACTTGGATCATTCTTCTCAAACTATCACCGGATGGGGACCCGATGATCGGTAGACTGAACACTCGACTCTCTCTATAAGGTCACAAAATCAGAATTCTTTGATGAGAAGTTGTTTGATATGGTGGTCCAATAAGGAACCATTTACCTGCATCTCCTCTCCCTCTGTGAAGCGGCCCTTCCAAGCTCGGTTCGTTTCCACTCACAAGAATATCTGTGCGTGTCATGATCTTTCCCTCATTAGCAACATAATCCTCCTCAAGTATTTCTCATAATAAAGAAAAGAAGATTTATTTATATTGTATGACACGTGGTGATTATAATATTGTGGTTAGACAGGTGCTTGATATAATAGATATCCCCCAGAATACACAAGTTGTGGTACATGTTATCTCCCGTCCATCAGGCAACTGGCGCCAAAGCCCCGAGCCGGCAGCGTGGGGTGTGTTGTTTTGTTGAATGGTGTATAGACTTGGGTGTGGTGGCGGTAGAGAGTCTCACTCACTGGTTCAGGCGTGTTCCGACGCTTCAGCCCTTTTCTTTCTTATTTTTTCTTCTTCTTTTCGTCATAAATGAATGTACAAACACATGAACACATGCAGATGGAGCTGAACCATCCAGGTATTACAACTCAGTCCCACTTGTTGACTTCGCTGAGTTGATACAAGCTGGCTTCAAACAGATTCGCCCCTAAACACTCCACTCCTGCTCGGAATCGGATTTATCTTGATATCGTACTTGACATGTTATATTATATTGTATTGCATGCAAAAATATACACACTTTCTGCAGCGGCAGCCTCTAAAAGAAACAGTCTCTCTCTCTCTGCCTTCAAAGTTCTGTCGTCCCCTCCCCTTGCCTGAGCCTCTGCCGTATTAACCTCCCATGTAATTTATGTAAGCCTTTGCTCGTCCGACACTCATGTAAATATTTTTGTGAGTGAGTGTGTACATAGTCTGATCATCAGGTGTTGGTGTAAATTTATATGTGTGTGACTGACTGACTGACAGGCGCGAAGAGAGTATGTGCCTTGTTTTAATCACCATCGTCACTCCAACTCTCGTTATATCCACTGGTTTTCCTAACTATTCCTTCATAAAGAAAAAAAAAAAAAGAAACCACTTGACTCTTTCTGTACAACCAGATCCTCAGAATAAGTGTAATACTGTAATAGCGTACAGAATAATAACTTCAGCCGGACCAGTACCACCAGCGCTAATCAAACTCTCTCCATAACAATAATAGTAATAATAATAATAACACATCAGCAGCAACAACCACCACCATCAATTCACCACCACATTACTTGAATCCCCGTCGCAACCACACGCTTCCTCCGTTCAATCTCTCTTTCTCTCCGAGGAAGTCGCCCTATCCAAGTTCTCCTGAGCCTCACTTGCGTCTTTTTTTCATCAGCAGCAACCACCTTCTTTGGTCACTTGGGATCATATCTACACCAGTCATTTCACCATCCACCCGAATAAGTCTCCTCCTCCACCACCGCACCCTGTTTTTCTTTGTCTTTTTTTATCAGATATCCTGAGGTGAAGAAGCACCAAGTGAAAGCCCCCTCCCCCTGTAACACGCCAAGTCATGTTCACAAGACCTTCTTCTTGTCTATAAAACCTCAACACGTATACGCTGCCCTCCTCACCCACCGCTCATCCTTTTCCACCCACGCCCGCCTCCCTCGTGCTTGACATCCATCGGACTATCCTCATCTCTTTTACATAAATTAAATAAATAACCGATTTCCCTGAGCACAACATTTTTTTTTTCTTTTTTTCTTTTTTCTCTTTGAAGAATTGTAACCATCAATCACACCATCATCCTTTCTCCAGAAGAATAAATACTCAGTAGAGAACTCTTGCTCAGTCAACACCCCCTCCCACCCCCCCTGCAAACTTCTCCCATCCTCTCCCCTGAACTTGGCTCGTTTGTGGGATGAGCAAGAAGACCATATTCATCTTTTAGTTTTAGTATTATTATTGTTATTACCTC